GCTAAGGTTAAAAATATATATAACCAGATTTCTAGAAAGTTCAACTGGAATGTAAATAATGCAGTGTAGTCTTTATTTATAACCAATTTTATATGCTTAGATAAAAATGCACATATAAGTGCATTATTTAAAGAAAATTCCATTAAAAAAATCCAACTAAGTTGGGAGCCATTACTTACAAATTTGTTTCTCTACAAAGGGTGGTTTTCCAAACACATGTGAGTTCCTGGTTTTTGTCACAGATTAGACTTGATATAAGCTCTTTTGGATTACATTACACACAGTTCAGAAGAGGTTGGGATAAGTTGTTTCATGTAAAATACAGACATGGAGGGAAAAGGGAGGTGTTGACTATTTTGCCAATTTCTCCTCAGGCCTCATGATCTCCAGGTCCAGTAAAGACTGTCTAGATCATAAATTGGCAAACGACAACCAGTGCATCATCTCTAGTCCACTGCCTGTTTTTATAAATAATGTTTTTATTGGAATACAACCACCCTTGTTGAAGAATTGTCTATGGTTGCTTCTGTGCTCCAAAAGCAGAGTTGAGTACCCATAGCTGCAAAACTCTGGCCTGCAAAGCCAAAAATATGTACTATCTGGTCCTTTCTTAGCCTATTTTTGTGTTGCTATAAAGGAATACCTGAGGCTGAGTAATACATAAGGAAAAGAGTTTTATATGGCTCACGATTCTGCTGGCTGGAAGACAGGACATCTGGTGAAGGCCTGTCTTCTTCCACTCATGGCAGAAGGTGAACCAGAGCCATGTGTGCAGAGATCACATGGTGAAAAGGGAAACAAGAGAGGCAGGAGAGAGAGGAGCTCTTACTAGCATCCAATGCTCCTGGAAACTGATGGAGCTCATGCACTCCGGTCCCCACATTAATCTATTCAGAAGGATCTGCCCTATGACCTAAACACCTCTCATTAGGTCCCTTCTTCAACACTGAGGAACAAATTTCAACATAAGGTTGGAGGGGTTAAATATCCAAATCATAGCAAGTCCTTTACAAAAAAGAAAAATACTTATTCCTGGTCTAGTTCATCATTGTTCGATACAAGTGGAATGCAAATCACATTTGTAATTTTAAATTGCCTAATAGATACATTAAAAAAAGGAAAAAGAAATGGGTGAGATTAATTTTAGTAATACATTTCATTTAATCCTATATATCCAAAATAGAATTTAACATGTAGTACTAACCACATTTCAAATACTCAGTAGCTACAAATGTTTAATGGCTACCATTTTAGACAGTGAAGCTCTAGAAAAGCAAACCAGAAGGAGCTGCTGGGAGACCCATTCTACAGAAAATCAATTTTAAAGAAAAGACATTTCCAGGATACTACAATAGGCCCCAAATAATAATCCACATTACCCTTTTTCATTTCACAGACAAGAAATGCAGAAAAAGAATTTAAAAGCAGCTAACCAATGAACAAACAAAATAGGTTTTTTTCCCTTAAAATACAATGAAGCTACAAAGATTTCTGCAATTACAGATGATTTTAGGATGGTTGTTTATTCTCTACTTTGATGCTAAATTCCTTCCATTGCAATTTAAACAGGTTCTATCTTGTCTTATCCTTAGATAAATCTAAGAAAAGCAGTCCCCCATCACTAATATGATATTGTATTCCTTTAAATCCTTTATGACTCTGGCCTTCCTTTCCTATGCCAGAGATATTCTTTGTCTAGCAGCACAAATTCAACTCCTCTAGCATTTCAAATTGGAATTATTTTCAAAATGTTTTGTTGTATTTGTTTTTCTCTTTTAAACTTTTCTCCAGATCTAGATGTACTTGCTTCAAATGCAACAAGAAAAAATAAATACAGCATTCTAATAAAGTCCAAATGTTGCCAAACACAAAAATCTCCGCTGCTAGTCTTCTGTTTAAACAGTTCATTCTATTGTTGGAGAATATTTCACCTGTGTCTTACTAAAATCCACAAACAAAAACAATCCTGAAACACAAAGTAACCTTTAACAGTTTTAAATTTCACAGGCATACTGTCCCTCATTTTCCCCACATATACAATGAGCATGATTCAAATTTGGTTTCTTAAAATTAATTTTTTTCTTATGAAAACTCATGAAGCATTTTACCATATTAGTAACAAGGACAATGGGGAACGTATCAGCACCCATAAAATGTCATGCTTATCAAATTTGTAAATTAAAGAAGACTAAGATACAGTAACCTTGGCAGGCACGGTGGCTCACATCTCTCAGCCCAGAGACTCAGGAGGCTGAAGCAGGAGGATCGCCTGAGGCAAGGAGTTTGAGACCAGCCTGGGCAACAAAATGAGATCTTGCCTTTAAACGAAAAACTTTTTAAATTTAGACAGGTATGGTGTTGTGCACCTGTAGTCCCAACTACTTGGAAGGCTGAGCCGAGAGAATTGCTTGAGCCCAGGAGTTCAAAGCTGTAGTGGGCTGTGATCATGCCACTGCACTGTGATTGTGCTGGAGTGCAGTGGCACGATCTCTAAAAATAAGACCCTGCCTCTAAAAATAAATAAATAAATAAATAAATAAATAAATAAAACAATCTCAACAGCCTAACTCTATCAGGATGAAATGCTAAGAGAAAAAGTGTATAGCAGACCATGAAGATATCCAGTACATAATTTAAAAAGATACAACTTAGGAGAAGCATAAAAAATATTGTTCTAATTAGCACTAAATTTAATAATAAGAGAAGTATAATATATAGGACAAAAAAGGTGATAGTCCTGTCCAATTGAGTTTATCTCCGAATGTAAAGAATGAAAGTTTGAAATTGTAGTTATCTAAGGTAAGGGGCAAAAGCAAGAAAATAAAGTTGAAATCAGCCTGTAAGTAGGAAAACAAGATTCTGGCATTTTATTGCTTCTTGAAGTCAACGAAGAAACAAAATTACATAAAGAAAATGAAATCTATATATATTATTACCAGTACCTAAAGAGTAACTATGAAGCTCTTCAAGAGAGTGAAATACATAGCAGTCAGTTTACCTTCTGGGAGTTAAACTAGTAAAAATGACACTTGATGAATGAGATTTGCTCCTGCAGACCCTAGACATCTTAAAGGCATAGGTCAAGAGACATCCCCCAGTTCTCACCTACTACTCTAGCATATAATTTCCACTATAATATGCTAACTCTGTTATGAATGGTGACCAACAAAGACACACCAAGATGGGAATGCTTGGCAGCTGGCTCAGCTCACTCACTGGGCTTTATTCACTACAGCCTTATGATACCTAAGACTGTCAGTGTGATTCAATTTCCCACCTTATGTTCAGCTGTGAATGTTGAAGTTTCAAAGCATCTCTATAACTGTCCTTAGAAAAAATGACCTTTTCAAGTTAAGAATAGGAAAAATAGGTTTCAAAAACCTAAAGACAATGGATTGAATGAGAAAAGAAAAAAAGCCGTCACCTAATCACCAGCTTCAATATCTGAAGGAGGAAAATACAAACAAAAGCAGGCTTCTAAATGGAGTCTTAAAAAGAAAAATCCAAAATTCAGAAATTTTTCCATGCATTATCAGCCTTGACCAAGGGAGATGGTACTCTGCTGGGCTGAGAGCATTGGTTACATTCTACTCTCAGAGCTCAATGGATGAATATTCTCTGGGCTCTGACTCCATGCCCATGAAGAAACTCTGTGTTACAATTTCCCCTGGCCTCAGCTTTGCTACAGTGAGAATGTACCAAGCAACAATCAGAATGCCAATTAAAGAATTGTCATTCTAGTTTATATATTCATTTTTGTAGGTATTTAGTTAGTGTGACTGAGTTCTCACAAGGTTGACAAATCCTAGACTCACTTATAAAAATCTAAACCAGGCCTCTAAACCTAAAAAGCTAAAGATTACATGCTAGCACCCCTGCCCCCAACTCTGCTGCTTTGAGGCATGGCTTTAATGGCCCATTGGCCTTTCTTGATGATGACATATTCCTTTGCCTAACTATATACATACACATGAGATAAAATAAGGTCTTATTCTATGTCCTTATTAATAGTATATTACCAGTCTTCATAATACCATTAAAATAACAGAAAATATGAACAATATGTAATTAAGAATCAGCAAAACCTTGATTTAGCAATCCCACTTTGAAAAATATATCCTTTAAATAATCTGCATGAAAAAAGCTTTAGTTTCATAGATGTGTTATTTAAAAAGTGAAACATAAAAACCAAGCCATGTATCAAGCCATAGAGAAACGATCTATACCAGCAATGATAGAAACACCACATAGAGCATAATGCAGCCATTAATAACAAAAATTACATATTAATACCATGAAAATATGTTTACATGAAAAAATACATTTGATATGTACATATAAATGGCATAGTTACAACAGTATGTTGAGGGGATAATTTGGAGGTGAAAATATAAAAAGATGGAAAATAATCCCTTACAGAAATCAGATTAAATTACTATATCATATTTACACATAAAAAACAATAAAGCTAGCCAAATTTCTGCTAAGCTGGTTGGCTTGGTTTATGAGAATAAATGCCAACTCCATCACTGTGTATTCACTGAGGCTTAGAATCCTAGAGAGTTAGTGATCCTACTGATACTGGGTATATCAAAATAATTATCCATACTGTGATCTAGTTTTTCTGATTTTTTTTTGTTTATTTTCAATCAGCATTTTTAAGAGGTCAGATACTCTTAACCGAAAAATAAAAATAGATCCAAACTACAGAATATAAATGTTTTCCCTTCCTTATGGAAAACGACCTAGGATTCAAGGGTTAATATAAAATGGACTCAATTTTGACAAGCCAGAATCTATTTTGTCAAAAATCATGCCATAATAAGTATAATAGTCACTCAAAAGGTTACACTGATTCACCCAAGATTACTTGGTAGATGCAGCAGTCTCTTAGTTCTTGTTTTTGTGCTGATACTTAAGTGCCATGTATTTTTAAATGCATCTAACTTCTTATTCAGTTGATAATGTTCTTTGTGAATATCAGCTTGATTTGAACTTACCTTACATGAAGACTCCACTTGCAGACTAGGGCAAGGTAATGGCCCAAGCTGGTAGGGGCTGGAGGATCTCTGTTCTATACTTTTGTGCTTAAGTGTCTCTGAGGCAATGGGAAGTACAGACTTCACACGCTGTGAATCATCACAACAATTAAGAATAATTCGTGCTCTTTCTCCTGTCTCATGTCTTTCCAAAGTGCCTGGAAAACAAGAAGTAAAAATGTCAGCAAAATATTTACCCCAACAGAATAAGACAGAACAAAACACTCTTTAACAGAAGAATCACAGTCCTTTAAGTTATCGTGCCTTAGTATCTTGCAACCGAAAAATAGCCTGGGAGCTTTTTCTAAATTATTCAAAACACTTGCTCATAAAGGCTGAACTTATGGATTTGAAAAGCTCATCTTCCTCTTTGTGCTTCTTCATCCACTGAAATCAACAGGAGATTCAATAGTCTTTAATAGTAAAATCTCTAACTTATTATACAGTATGCAAGTGATCAATAACACATAACTATGGAATATTTTAGTGCTGTCCCCTAGTGTTCCAACTCACAAGCAACAGAGAACCCACAGTGCTTTGCTTGGGTTCCTAGGCTTGAAATGTTTCTATTGGTAACATATAATTTAAATGAATGGAGCAAGTAAGAACACGGATGCTTTGTGTACTGCCTCCCTCACCCAAGTGTCCCCGCAGGGCTTTGTTGTTTTATTGTTGAGATTGTTGTGATTATATCCTTTGGCTTTTATTTCTTACATTATTAGAAGGGGAAAAAAATCCTTTGCCTCTGTCATTCTTCCAGTTTCAGAATTTAGGAGTGCTGTCAAGTTCAATTTAAAGTTAAAAAAAAAGTATAAAATAGACCAAAAGTATCAGAAACCAATTCACAAATAGTTCAATGTTTTTATAAACTACAATGCCATACACTCAGTGAAATATCAATAAATATGAATTAATCATGTTCTCTGTCTCTTATGAGTTCATTTGCATTATTCATACTGTATTAAATATATAGGTTATTTCCTACTGAATAAAGACACCAACGAATACTACTTTAATAAACAATACCTAAATACAGACTTTATTTCATATTCTTTTCTACCAGTGAGAAAGAAGTAGATGTACTATTTATATTGTTAAGAAAATATCAAATAAATTACAATAAGAAAATAGAAATAATAATTGTAGGCCACTATGTCTTTAGATAAAAAGATTGGTAGATATATTTGAAGATTATGATGATTCTATCCTTTCTCATTTCTCTCCCACTCTTCTATAACCTTCTTTTATTACAACTAAACTACCATTAGCTGGCACCATGGATTCTGAACCAGTAACAGTTACTTTGATCAAATAACAGGCAGAACTTCAGTCTCGAATCCCTTAACAATATAATTTTATTGTAACATTTCTACATTCATAAATAAACATCCTTATCATATAAACTTATAAACATGTTATTCTTCTAAGCTTTCCTTTTCCATCAAGATTGATATATCTGGCTGGGTGTGGTGGCTCATGCCTGTAATCCCAACACTTTTGGAGCCCGAGGTGGGCAGATTGCCTGAGTCCAGGAGTTTGAATCCAGCCTGGGCAAGATGGTAAAACCCCATCTGTACAAAAAATAAAAAAATTAGCCAGGCAGGGTGGTGAGCACCTACAGTCCCAGCTACTAGACAGGGCTAAGGCAGGAGGATCTCTTGAGCCCAGAAGGTTGAGGCTACAGTGAGCCAGGATCACGCCACTGCACTCCAGCCTGGGTGACAGAATGAGACTCTGTCTCAAAAAAAAATAAACACAAAGTCTATCACAATGGTATGCAACAGCTAGATATTCTGGGACTTTAATTTTTATAAATTAGGAAAAAATATTGATCTATTTTCTGAAGGATACACTTCAGGGAGAAAAAATTATTTATAGATCAACAAATGAAGCTGACAGCAACATCAAGAAAACCCTTCCTCTCAAGACTGACAATAAGCAAAGCTTCAGAAACCAAAGATAAGAGTTATTACTGCTTCCTGAAAACTACCGCATTCCAGAACTTGGAACCGTGTTACGTGGTAAAATTTACTGTCTTTCTGAGAAGTCTCTCTTTGAAAATGGTATCATCCTGAATATTTTCTTCTCACAAGTTCTCTGTGGCTCCTCAAGCTATGATATTTTTTACATATTTTAGGAATGATTGGGAAAGAACTTATTGCACTTTAATACATTTGTTATGTGCCTTATGCAAAATGTATACATTCTATATATCCATGTTTTATTGTATACCTGATGTCTGACCCAAACACAACTATTTCTCGTATTTTTTTAATGATGAGAATAGTTTATCTACAAATTTAGGTAGTTGTAATCCATTTTCATTCGTGCAGATAATTAATCTGTCTGAGTATTTACTATGCTACCATGTACCATCCATCATGCCAGATGATGACAATGTATAGTATATAAGAATGACTCAGTCCAGGTCCCTGAGAGCTTCCTTAAAACCTAATGGTAGTACAGATGCAAGAAACATCTGAAAACTGATAAGCTGCAATATTTAAAGTAACACCTAAGCTATTTCCACCCAAAACTAAAAATCTCCCCTTCTAAAAATGTTAGACATTTGGTTTTGTGTACAAGAGTTTCTGTCAAGATTAGTTACAAAATAGTAGAAAAATAATGAGTATTTTGTTTCAAGGAACTGATTAAGGCATACACATGACATAAGGAGTGGTTAGAGTCAATCAATTTCTGTAAAAGATATAGACAGACAAGTAAACTACATGTTCAAAGCAGTAATTTAATTTTGCAATAGGTTCACGATGGCAGCTTTTGAAAGACCTTGTTCAAAATTCTGACAGTGGGTGGGCATTCCCACATGTGCTAGTTATCAATTTATTGTCTCAGATTCAAATTCAGCCTTCACTGCCTGCTTTGTGAAAATGAATATGGGCTTGATAAATATTTTCTCGTTTATCAGCTGGTGAAATATTAACCTTTGGGGACAGAGGGTGCTGGAAAGACCAAGTAGAAGAAAGGGTTAAGGCCAGGTGTGATGGCTCATCCCATCCTAACTATAATCTTAGCACTTTGGGAGGGTGAGGCAGGTGGATCACAGGAGTTCAAGATGAGCCTGGGCAACATGGAGAAACCCTGTCTTTACAAAAAATACAAAAATTAGCCGGGCATGGTGGCATGTGCCTGTAGTCACAGCTACTTGGGGGGCTGAGGTGAGAGGATCACTTGAGCCAGAAAGTCGAGGCTGCAGTGAGTTGTGATCATACCACTGTATTATAGCCTCGGCGACAAGGTCAGACAGTGTCTCAAAAAAAAAATAAAAAATAAAAAGAGGAAGAAGCAGGAGGAGGAGAAGGAGGAGGAAGAGGAGGAGGAGGAGGAGGAAAGGAGGAGGAGCAAGAAAGAAGAAGGGAAAGAAGAAGGGGCAGGGGGAGGGGAAGGGGAGGAAGAAAGGGCTTTTTCTTCTTGGTTCTGGTGTACTTTTCTTGGAGTAGTGTTAGTGGCTTCTCCAGTAAAGGTGTCGGTACTACATGACAGCTGGCCCAGCAGCACTTTGCATCCAAACACTTTCTTTGGCATACTCTTTGGGCAGTTTTGTAACAGCGCCGCCAGCAAGACATCTCCCTGTGGACAGCTTTCTCTGGCACCCTCGAGGGAATATTTCTAGAAAGTTCCACCAGAACTACACCATAGCAGCGTCTTTGCCATTCAATATATATAACCATACCCTCTCTAGCAAGGTCAGGAACTTAGCCCTGGAAGGTGGAAAGGGGGGTCTTTCTTGGTTTCTTGATCAAGCTAGCACAAGTTCTAAGGCTAGGAGTCATCTTTCACATCTGCTATTCCTATATTCTTTAGAGTTCTCTTCTTACTAGTCAATCTCTCATATTCAAATTCTTTATGCTAGTTAATAATTCTTTATACTAAATTTTCTGTCTAAGTTACTGCATCATTTTTCTTTCCTGATTAGACCCTGATTAATACATTACGATACATCACTTATGATGCAGAATGTTTCCTTAAATATGTCTCCAAAGTTATGAACTTTATACCACTTCAGAGATATACTTAAACTATTAGAGAACATATATAGCAAAAAAACAAAAACAAAAACAAAAACAAAAACAAAAAAGGAGGCATGACCACAAGGAAGATTTCCAACAAGCGATGCTTTTCCAACTCTAATATACTGCCTTGGGCAAGATACAGAATAGCTACTATTTCCAGATATTAAAGAAATGTAAGAAACCGAAGATTCACAAAATTGCTTAATTCAACTTCCAGTTTCAGGAGAACTTTTCTTTCCAAAGTAAACTCACTGATAATTAGAATTTTATTTCATTATAGTACATCAAGAATAGGAGTTAATTCTTATTTATTATTCATTTGAATCAATCTGAACATGACAAGGAAAGGTGTAGAGACATAGGTGAGTTAAGTACTACTGAAAGTTACACTACATCTCCTCCTTCAAAGTAGGTGTGCAAAAATATTCCATAAAATCTATTGTAAGTAAAATCTTTATTGTATAAAATGCTTTCAATAAATATTTTGTATTTTTCTATTATTTATTTAATATGATTTTTATATAATTTGTTTTAATCTTAAACTGTGTAATAGTGCATTAGAGAGCAGAGCTAATCATAAGAAAAGATAGCTTAAAGCAATTAACATCTTGATAAGAAATGAAGGAAAGATCAGTTTCCAAAGTTGCATAGTTTCCGAAAAGTCAGTGCATAGAAATATAAGAAACAGCCAAGATAATTTCTGCAGATCCCTAGACCTGTATTGACAGGATTTTCACTTGTACACACTGCTTTCCCTGTCAATTCAACATACCCCACAGCGTACTTAATCAACTACGTTTAAAACCAGAGCTTTCTCTATGACCCCATGCACAACCCTGCCCATGTTCTTCCTATCTATCCAGGCAGACAACAAGGACACATCATCACAGCATGGTGTGTAGAGCAGACTCTGGCATCAGACTGTCCTGTAGTGAAATCCTTGTTTTACCTTTGATGGCTCTGGCCTTCAGCAAGTTATTTTACATCTCTGTGCCTCAATATCTTCATCTGTACAATGGGGATAATGATAATCCCTACCTCATGGAGTTACTTGAGGATTAAATTGAGTAGATATAAGAAATGCTTAGAGGTTTCAGCACACAGTGAATGCTGTGCTATATGACAGC